CGTCACTCTCTCTCTCTATCTCTTCTCTACTTTCATTTCTTTTTTTTCTCTTTACTACACTCACTTTAATGTATTTTTCACAGTTATTAAATATTATAAGCAATTAAGGATAGACATAAATGCAATAAGAGATTAAATTAAAATATCTAACTGACTTGTTATAATACATTGAATTAATTTTGTTTTTTTCTAGTATGAATAAGCTTGAAAAACATGAACAAGTAGCAATGCTCAATGATGAAAATCATCCACCACGAATAAGAAATACGAATGGTCAAGGAGTTGTCGGAACAGTAATTTTGTTTTTTTTATTTGAAATATATATATGCTAAATCAATAAAATTTATTTTAAATTAGTGTTGTTCATGTTTTTTTGGTTCACTTCGTACTAATCTACTTCTTACATTGACCATTACCGGTGTATTTTTCGGCTTACTACTTGGATTTCTATGTCGTTTATTAAATCCGTCCGCCGAAACGATTATGATTCTTTCGTTTCCCGGTGACATTCTTATGCGTATGCTCAAAATGCTTATTTTACCTCTTATTACATCTAGTCTTATAACTGGTATGTCAACAAAAATCGTTGATTTCATATAGATAAATATTTTTTCCTTAACAGGTTTGGCTGTACTTGATCCAAAATCAACTGGTAAATTAGGTTTTTATGCATTGACATATTACATTACAACAACTATACTTGCTGCTATACTTGGTATTTTACTTGTACAAGCAATTCGACCAGGTGAACGAGGTAATCAAGCTCAGTTACGTTCGGAATTATCAGGAGATGAACCCAAAGCTGATCAGGTTACAACACTCGATGCAATATTTGATTTATTTCGGTAAAAAAGACTAATATTTATAAATTTTCGTAAAAACAACTATTTCTTTTAGAAATATGGTACCGGAAAATATTATTCAAGCTGCACTTGAACAAGTTAAAACAACAAGAGGTATTTTTTCTTATAGTGCAAAAATATTTTTTTATATATGAATATGAATTGTATTTTTAAGAGACTAGTTCTACGACTGTTAATGACACCGTAACTACTAAAGTTAAATTTTCTACACGTTACGTTTCTGGTACCAATTTCTTAGGTTAGAAATCATTCATTTTTTGTTGTTGTTATTCTTTCAATGAAAACTTTAATAGGTTTAATTACATTTTGCTGTGCATTTGGTATAGCAATCGGAACAATGGGAAAACGTGGTGAACCCATGTTACATTTTTTTCTTATATTAAATGAAATTGTCATGAAATTAATAAAATTAGTTATGTGGTATGTAAAACATAAAATTGCGACGAAACAAAATTTCAATAAAAATATTTTATCTTAGGTATTCACCAATTGGTATCATGTTTTTAGTTGCTGGAAAAATTTTAGAAATAGATGATTTGATTAAATTAGCTCAAAGTTTAGGAATGTATGCATTAACAGTCTTAACTGGTTTAGCTATACATTCATTGGTTACATTACCACTTATATTCTATGCTGTTACACGAAAAAATCCATTTGCATTTTATCGTGGAATGCTTCAGGCTTGGTTAACAGGTATTGGAACAGGTTCAAGGTACGATTTAAAAAATTTTTTACTTAAATAAATTAAATATAAAATTATTTTAGTGCTGCATCATTACCTGTTACATTTCGATGTTTGGAAGAAACATTAAAATTAGATCGACGTGTAACACGTTTTGTATTACCAATAGGAGCAACGGTTAATATGGGTAAGAGATTTGGCCAAAGAATTAATTTATTAATAAATTTTTTTATTCATATTTATAGATGGTACGGCTTTATATGAAGCAGTTGCTCCGGTTTTTCTTGCCCAACTTATGGGTAGACAACTAGGTGTTGGGCAATTAATTATTGTTAGGTAAGTGATCGATATATATATAGAAAAAGAAAGTTTATTGTTTTGTGAAATAGTTTAACAGCAACAGTAGCTTCAATTGGAGCTGCATCAATTCCATCGGCAGGTCTTGTTACAATGCTTTTGGTTATGTCAGCTGTGAATATTCCTGCAAAAGAAATTACTATTATATTTGCTATTGATTGGGCTTTGTAAGTAAACGAATATTATGATTTTCATTTTAATATTATTTTTATCTATATATATAGAGATCGAATTCGTACATCGGTTAATATATTAGGTGATGGTATTGGAGCTGGTATTGTCGATCATCTTGTTCGTGATGAATTAGGTCCTGAAGTACTTGAAGAAGGAGACAAAACAACTCAACCAATGAAAGTACGAACAGCATCTGAATTGAATCCTGAAAAACAACGTTTTCATACTCGTGATGATTTTAATGAAGCATCTAAACTTTAATATAAAAAAAAATAGATCATTTTTTTTTTCTAAATGAATTTTTCTTCTCTCAGGTAACAACAACTACCTTGGATTAAAATAAAAAAAAACACAAAAAAAATCATAATAATATATGAACATTAAATACAGTGTGTCTATCTATTTTATATTAGTCTAGTTTTGTAAACAAAAAAAAATGTGTGTATGTGTATGTATATAGATTACATGTCTTATTTTTATTTTGTTGATTGATTTTATTTGATGTTGTTTCTTTTATTTTGACTTGTCATATAGATATAAAACAAAAACAAATATAAGAAACTCTTTATGTGATTGTGTATTAGAGTTGAGTATGAGCATATTTGCCTCTTTTTGTCACTGTCCTTATTAAATATAAATGAATAATAATAATAATAATAATATTTGATTGAATTTTAAAAGAAAAACAAAACAATGATCAACATAAATATCATGTTGATAACCAAATGAAGAACGTGATTTGTATATATAAATTTCTTCGCATAAATACAAGAGAATGATTACTTTTGAAACTAAACTTTAGGTATACTTATATAATCTGTCAGAATTAATCCAGACACACTTTGTTAATTACTTTTTTTTAATAAAATTTTATCTGAGCGCTATGACATATTTTTAATTTGTAAGAAAGCTCGAAATTTTGATATCCGGACTTGGTGTAGTTTTATGGGATATACTATGCATTCATCTGTAAATATGTAATATCCGTCAGTTGTTTTGTTTATTATAATGAATTCTCAAGGTTTTATTCTGTTTAACTTCAAACAATAAATATTTTATGATTAAATTATTAGTTTTTGTCGCAGTCGATTTGAATTTGTTTTTGTTTTTTTGTATTCTAATTAATTACTCGATTGAGTTTATTCAGATTGTTTTGTTTAGATTACCTTGAATTTATTGTTAAAAACAAAAAGAAATATTATGAATAGCTTCTTTATTGCATAATAGATTTAGCTAAGTTTTTTTGTAAAAACAGAAATGGATCTGCTAACAATTCAAAATTTATTTAAAACTATATCAAATAGAGAAATATGAGTATGCTAGAGATTTATAAAATTCTGAGTGAAGAAAATATTTGTGTAGTAACAGCAGTAATTGCTTTGTATGAACTTGACATTACTGTATGCACTGGTAATACGATGAATGTCATATGAATTTTATTCTATAAATAAACGGTCGTTTACTATATTATATTTTAATGGAAGATGTCTATACACGAGTTTATGTTAGAAATTTTTTTTTTCTATTGTTTATGATTATGTATTAGCAAAGGGAAAAATTCTGAATGTTTTAATACATACATACTTTATGAGGAAATGAAATATAAGCAAATAGTCAGTCGTCAATCAGTTGATTAGAAAAAATAGTCTAGTTTAAGTAATCTCTAGAGATGCATAAAATAACGAATAATAACAATACTATAAATGACTCAATTCATCAACTGAAAATCATGAGAACGTAGGTCAATGTGTTTTTTTTTT